GGTTAAATCTTAAAATAAAACATTTCTTCAAGTAACAGGAGAATGGGAACAAATTACATTATGTTTTTAAGACCACGACTTACCACAGCTGTAACATTTAGAGGGAAATTTGCCCAGGAATACTCCACACAGAAAGGTCACCCTGTGATGAAATCAGATTAAGTTTTCATTCATAGATCTTCTTGTCGAATTTAAAACTTAATGGAGCATTGAATTAAAATGAAACCTCTCCGTAGCAGCCAGGACAGTCACTCGTTTCGTGACTCTGAAACATCCTGTGGAATCTTGATCTCTCTTTGCATCTTCAGCACTGATGTTGTTTATCAAGAAATATCATCTCAGGTGCAAGTGACCAGCAGTTTGTCTCACACTGCAGTCACTCCACTGCCAGCGTTTGGAATGAATGAGAGGTTTGGCACAGAAACAGCAACTACAAAACAAAAAACAAAGAAAAAGATTACACAAGGCGCGACTATCAAGCTTTCCATTCAAGATTCATAATCATTATGGACAAGACTTTGGTAAGCAATATTAGTTTGGACTTTGTGAGAAACTAATCTAAACAAGTTCTGTATTCAGTGTTGCCAAATTTGTGACTTTCTCGCTAAATCTGGCGACTTTTTTTGTCGAAAGCGACTAGCGACAAATCTAGCGACTTTTTCTGGTGTTACTGGAGACTACAGAGGAGACCCACACCGCTCCGCGTCCAGACCGATAATGAATCGCGCATGTGCAAAGCCGCCGCTGAGCCCGGATAAAGGAGGAGGGTAAATTGATTAAATTTGATATTCTAACATTTACCAATACAGGACAAAATTGATTTATGTAATGTGAGTCTAGACAAAGCATTAAAGTCATGAAGTTATTTTGAGAAGTGATGGCCTATTTAAATGGCAAAATATAAAACAAGCAAACCAAGAATCAACAGAAGAAAGTTCATTTGTAGTACTAAACATATTTAGGGTGTTTTTACTCACTTTTTGTCTGTCCCATGACGTTACGCCTCTCTCTTACAGCGTCCATTACAATTACATGCAAATAAAATTGTATGCATATTAGGCGATGACGTCATTTAGCGACTTCTAGGACAGCCAATAGCTACTTTCCTTACTGAGGAGTTGGCAACACTGACAGGTACAAGTGTTGGTTGAGTACTACATTAGAAGGAGTTGGGGTACGTAGCAAGTAAACATCATAAGAAGAAGCTCGGCTGTGTTAGTCACTAGAATCAGCTCGAGCTTCGGGTTTTCTCCTGCACTGATTCAGGTACCTTGGTTTAGTGCCAGGAAATTAAGGAAGAAACAGAGGAAAAACCAAATCACCTTCAATTTAATGCTGCGTCGGGCGTGCAGGAAAACAGGAGCTTGCTACATTCGATTAGGCACAAAACATTTATTTAAGGACAGTTTGCTTTAACAACCCTTTATCGAATAATCATGGCCTCTACCTGGTACAGGTGTGTGACCGAGACGCTGAAACACGCACAACCAGCCCTGTTTGTAGCAGCGTGGCTGCATTGCGGGACCGAATATCACAATTTGCGGTAAGGTGAGTGACAGCTATGCTTTGTTGTAGGCTAATGTGAGGTGTGCTGGTTTGTGTTTAGCTAGTTAACTTCGTAACGCAACATACTAGTTAAGGATAACGTGTTTGACCTTACTGCACCATGAGCAGCTGTTCACACAGCTCATCAAGTCAAGAGTCAATAATCTTTATTGTCATTATGCATAGCACAACGAATTTCTTTCCGGCAGCTCTCGGCTAAAAAAAAAATCATTATTTACATAACACGCAATTGTATAAGTCATTATAAAAATATGAACAAATAAAAAGGGATGCATGGGACCTAATCAGGTCAGCAGCAAGAGTGTAGTAACATTATAAGGTGCAGCTCAGTGCAAATCTCAGGGGGTCAAGTCCTTTCTGTCCTGTGCAGTGCAGCTCCCATACCACACTGAGACAGAGGATGCTCTCTACTGTCACTCTGTAGAAGTTTGCCAGCAACTGAGAGGAGAGACCAGCGCGTTTCAGCTTCCTAAGGAAGAAAAGCCTTTGCTGGGCTTTCTTCATCAGGTAGGATGTGTTCAGAGACCAGGTCAGGTCAGATGTGATGTGGATGCCCAGGAACTTGATGTTATCTGCCAACACAGTGTAGTGAAGAACGCCCTGTTTTCATTAGGCTTTTGTGTCTATCTCAAAGTCCACACAAATTCAACATGTAGCTATGTAAGAGGGACACACAAATCCCTGTTTGTTGGTTTAAAACAAAACAAAACAAAACAAAAAAACTAGAATAAGCAGAACAATACTAACCCACTGTTTTTATACAACAGAAAACTAGCACAAGGTTTATAAAGCTCCCAGCAAGTGCTCAGATCACACTAGACATGCATGCTGAGTTTTCATCTGTTTGACACAGTCATTTTATTTTGTATTAAATGAAATTGATTTTCAAACTCAAATGGCTGGATAGAATTGTTTTATGCACTAGACTGTTTCCTTAGTTCCACATCAGAAACACAGCATGGACATTCACAAAGATGAGGGGGAAAAAAACTCAGAATAAGTGATTTCATTTATTCTTTACTGCACATTTTATGTACAAGGCAAATTTTCAAAAGGCAATACAAAATAAAATGCATAAAATATATAGTTACTGTGAGATACATAGATTTAACCAATACAAAGGAAACTTTTGGCTGTGAAAGTCATTCCTTTATTGATGCTTTGCATCCTGCAGCAAACTAGTGTCCAAGTGATGATGCAGAACAATACTAAGAAGACAAAGGTCCGTGTGATGATTAACTCCTGAACAGCTGACTGTTAGATTTTAGTAGAATGCTGACAGACGTTCTGTAGTTGTGCAATCAAGATATCAAAAGAGAAAAGTAAAAATATAACTTAGACTGACACACCAAAACATGTTGGACAAGACAACAGATTAAGGAAAGTTGTCCAGAAAACCTCATCGTAACTAGTGACTGGCAGTGGTTGTTCTCCAACCTTAATTGGATGCCATCCCGTTCTAGTCTCTGGCCATCAAGATTCTCCACACTACTCAAAATGTGAACATGTGGTTCCACCTTAAAATAAACAGGCACGTCGACAGAAAAAACAGCTTCCTGTCCACTCATGCTTAAGACAGAACAATCGCCAACCACAAGATTTATTTTGTCCTTTCTGTAAATAAAGTATCCTCTTCAGAAAACAAAACAAAAGTCTCCTCCTTTCCTTGCCTGTAATGTTTAGTACTGTCATATGAGGTGGACTCAAAATAAACAAACAACAAAAAAATTATTTACTGCTGTGAAGCTACATGCATTTTAGTTCATTGAGGCATCTTATAACACGCCAAGACTTGGAAAAAATATGGACTCACTTCAAGTAAGACATGTTCACTTTTTTGATCCTACCCTGTCAATTAGAAAACATGACTGTGCAACCCAAAGGAAAAAGCAAAAGGGGGTTAAACAGAGCCTGTCTTTAGCTGTGTGATTAGAGAGTTGGTACCAATCTGAAGCCAGGATGCTAAAGAACACCAGGAAACAGCAGTGTGCAAATGCATTCTGGTCCATCCAGTCTTTTGGCCCACTTTGACCCCCATTTAGAGCTGGCCCCCCTGGGCCTTTCTTGAGCCAGCTCAGCCCCGTTTACTCAACCTTATTTAAACCTGGTCCATCACTGAACAATCTGGGGCATCTCACTCCAGGCTTTGGCCTTCTTCTTGGCCAGCGCCATCCAGGGCGGCTCGTCCTGTGGCAAAGCTGGAGGAGGCAAGCCTCGCTGGGATGATGAGGTCTGTCCCGAGAGCCCTGGAGCTCTTGTACCAGACTTTTCCAGGGCGGTTCTGTCTGAAAAAGGAGAGGAGGTGAGTACCATATCCTGTGGCTCGTTTGTCTTGGATGAAGGTACGAAGGTGGCACATTTGGATAGAGATGGTGGGCTGGGGGACGAGGAAGATTTTCGGGGAACTGGAGTGGGTGGGGAGAGGGTTCTTGAGGCTGGATAAGGTTGGGATGGAGGTTTTGGAGAGACAGGGCATGGCAACAATTGGGACTTTAAAGGTTGAGGTGGCACTGGAGTTGGAGGTGCAAGAGCTCTCCTGGTGTCCTTTTCTAGAGATTCTGGAGGCTTACTGATCTCCAGTGGACTCACTGAATGAAAAGAGAAACATCCACACAGGTCAAACAAAACTAAAGAAGTAATTCCTGAGAGAAATGCATGACTGCTGTGATACTTGAATGTAGTGTGACTGAAGGGATGTAATGGTGTAAATACATTACTTGTACTGTGTATAGTTAACAACATTTATGCAATAAATAGTAAGTCATAACTAATTAGCTGTAGATACAAGTATCTACAGATAAAGCTACAGTATGTAACTTTTTAATACATTTTTGTTGTATGCTCCAAAACTTGTCTTGATGTGGAGAGATGCTGCCGAAGCCTCCTGTGACCCAGACTCATTGAACAGCACCCGCAGCAGTGCAGAGACATTAGCTTCTAAAAGGTTTTGAGTAGGACTGACCTCTCTGACCAATCAGAGATTTTCATTTATTTCTGCTTGGTCATTAGGTTTTGTTACATTCTCATTGCTGCGGAGCATAGAAACACAGTGAAGCGCGGGGGGGGGGCTACAATGATGGGCGTCTATGGGTTTGTTTTTAAAACCTAATTGAAAAGTACAAATGTTGGCAATAAAAAAAGGTCATAAGTTGTAGCATTTCTTGTTGGCTTTAACTGTGTGTTTTTTTTTTTTTTTTTTAACTTTTTCAGGAAGAACTCCCTAAATGTCAAAATTTTATTTAAAAAAACAGCATAAAGTTGTATTGTTATCAAATATGAACAATATTTGAACCATACAACAGGACCACATGGATGACAACACCAACTCACGTTGCTTAATATCAGAGTGAGGAGGAACAGCATCACAGTGTTTTGTTTCACATAAAAATACTTAAACTTATCTTTCAGAACAAGTGGTTTTATCGCTTCTAAAACAGGACAACTTTTATATGCTCAGGTCCATAATTTGTGTTTTTGTTACCTTCATCACACATCTCATTTAATAAATAAAACTATATGCATATATTTATCAGCGAGATCAGTCATGTGTTCGGGAGTCAAATGTCATGTGATCAGTACAAATAATCACCTCACACAGAAATCTAAATGTTACAATATGAGCTGCAGTTAATTTTGTTGATTTGGATGAAGTAGCAGAGGTTGTCCAGATGAGGGCAGTGTTACATCAGTCAAAATCAACTTGCATGCAACAAGATGTAGAACATAGTGTAGAAAAGAAGGGTAGTTAAAAGCATCTTGAATGGGTTCAATAGAACCTAAGGTCATTACAGCAATTCGGCCTGTTAAATGACAAAGAATAAAAAGTGATGCCTGCTGAAATGCTTTCATACTTCAATATATGCTATGTACATATTACACATGCCATATTTCAGTAGTGAGATAAAGTGCAGTGTTTGAGTTCTGACCTTTGTTGGCAGACTCAGCTGTGTGGCTGCTCTGCTGCCTGCTGGCTGCTGAGCTGATGTACACTGGCAGTGAACTCTTCCTCTCTTGTCCCTCCTGATGTCAGAGAACAGCACAGTCAGTTGCACAGATTACGTGGCTGAAAATGTGTGGTGATGTATACAGCAAAAAGAGCAATAAAATTAAAAAACACACACACACACACACACACATAGGGTATACAATCATCCCATCTAGGCACATTTCCATCCAAACCATGTATTTTCTGTGTGCTGTGTACCTAAATATTTGCACTGTGTGCCTGCCATCGTGTTTGCTGTGTATTGGTCTTCATCACACTGGCCTGTGGCTAGAAATAAGCTCAGTTGTACCTGAGTCTGAGTCTAATGTACTACTGTGTAATGTGCTCGACAACTGATGCTTTGTTCAGTGTTACCTCACAAGTTTACTGAAAATATGTGTTTGCATTGGGGACGGCTGTGGCTCAGGAGGTAGAGCGGGTTGTTTCCTAACCGGAGGATTAGCGGTTCCCGGCTTGTCCAGTCAACATGTCGAAGTGTCCTTGAGCAAGACACTGAACCCTCAGTTGCTCCCGGTGATGTCACCGGTGTGTGAATGCGTGAGTGCTTGAGAGTGCGAATGGGTGAATGGCCGAATAATGTGAAAGCCCTTTGAAAAAGCGTAACAGCTTATACTTATACAAGTATAAGACCATTTACCATAAGAGACAGTACAGGAGGTGACCACACATGCATACACACGTACAGAGGGATTACCTTCTTGACTGTAATCTCATCTAGCGAGTTGTCCTTATAGATCATCTGCTTCTGTCTGGCCACAGAGATCCAGCTGGGAGAGTCCGATCCACCAGAAACACCACAACCTATAGCTGGGCCTGAATCGGTAACACAGCAGATACTGGGCTGGATCAGGGGCTATTTACTCTCTCCTAGCCTGATTAGATTGACTGGACTATTACAGATGAGCGCCTCACTGTATGTATAAGACTGTTATAAGTGTTTGTGTGTGCACACCTGAGATGCACTTGGTCTTGCCTCCACTGTCTCCATGTACATCGGGTTTCTTAGGAAGGGCAGGCTTGTTGCCATTCGGCTGATTTATGAGGGGCTTAACACCGGTTGGCTGTGGTGGCTCTGCTTTACAGATGGTTGGCTGAATGAGTGGCTCACTGGGAGACTGAATAAGAAAATCAGAGTTAATACACAAACAGTAAAAACTCTGGGAAATGTTCAGATCCATGCCTCCCTCACTGACTCTGCATTCCAACTAAAAAACAAACTTTAAAACAGGTATTTTTCTCTCATGTCATTGACTGTAAACAGAACCTAGCGCTGTGGTCTAACCTACAGGTTATGATTTTTGTCAAAAATATTTGGAAGCCAAACAGAACACTTGGATAGAAGAATGCTTGGAAATTGTTCAACCACAAAAGGGTGTAGAACCTACTTTATATGGACAATTGGCGCAGTCACACCCTCTTCCTCAGACCTCATTAAGATGCAATAGAAAGAAGAACTAACGTCTCGGCGGTGTGGTGATTGATTAGTCATCAATATGCACCAGGTACAGGCTGGTACAGTTTGGAGAACACTATAAGCTCCAATCAGTTCAGTTGCTAAAAGCATGTTTGTTTTTGTCATTATGGGTTGCTGAGTGTAGATCCATGGGCACAAATGGCAGTTTAATTTTAAAATGAATAAAACATGGAACACAAAAGTGGAAAAAGTGAAGGGGTCTGAATACTTTCTGAAGCTGCTGAAACCTCTCTAATCAATCTCAATCAATTTATTGAACTAATAAAACTAAACATTATATTCACCAAAGGCGAACTTCAGATTCCCGCAGTCTGAAGGAAAGAATAACCGTAAAGTATGAAAAGCTTCACTCAAAAAGATGCAATCAACCAGAACAACGCAGTCAGGGTCATCACCTCTTCCTCGGAGCTGAGACGGTGCAGAACTGGAGTCTTCCTCAGACGGACTCCGAATGGATTGTCTGGGTTTCCCTCCACTATGACGGAGCTCTCTGTGGGTGGGAGGTGAAGTTTGTCTGTGGTTTAGCTTTATTTTAAGTCAGACAGCCACTTCGCCCCATGCGCCTTAGATTGGAGTACTGTTTTATTTCTTATGGCACAAGGAAAACAGATGTGGCTCATACATAACAAAGCCTAGGACACTGGATCAACCCTAAACAGACAAGTACCATATCCAAAGATAAAATTGTACAGACGATTATGTTTAAAGCTTTTACCTTCTATGTCTGCTGCACTGTCCTGTGGTTTTGCAGTGCTGCTTCCTGCATTCCTCGTTTTACTGGGGCTTAAAACCAATTCAGCTTTAGCTGAACCTGTTGGCTGCGCTTCTACAGCTGGGTCCTTTGTACTTGCAGCTCCCACCTCCTCATCTCCAGGCCCTGTGGCAGCCGAGGGCGAAGAGGGGACGCAAGCAGATGGGGAGGAAGGAGGAGTCAGACTGTGTGATCTCTGCCAGACGGGGGCGATGGTGAAACGAACCTTACTGTGATCTGAGCTTCTGGATGGCTGGCTGACCACTTCCACCACAGAGGCAGGAGGTGGGGCCTCTTCTTCTACTTCCTCTGCACAGTCAGCTTGTTCTTCTTCTGTGGATGCTGTGCTTTGCTTTCCTGAGACAGCACTGTTTTCTTTGGGTTCTGCAGTGATTGGGGACTTTTGGAAGAAAGATGTGGCTTTCTCTGAACTGGGAGAGACTAGATTTATGTGGAGAGTGGTGGTGCTGATCTTGCTGGGAGTGATAGCCCCACTCTCTTGTGGTTGAGTGTCAAAGTGGGATGTTGGCAAAGACAAAGATGGCGGCTTGGCAGAAACAACAGCTTGTTCCGGGGCTTCAGTTTGATCGTTTTCCATGTCTTCCAAGTCTAGATGTGACATTTCTACACTCTCCTGCTCCATACCTTGTTCAGTTTCATCTGCAACAGGTTGGTTTGCTTCCTCATCTTCTTCCTGGTCTGATTTTTGTTCAGTGTGTTCGATCTCCACAACCTCCTCTGCTCTCTCTTCTCCGTCTGCAGAGCTATGGCTGTAATTTGTTTGGCACTCATGCACTATGGTGAATTCCTCATCATCCGGTTCTGTACGCATTTCTTCATCATCATCATCATCATCATCAGGCTTTTCTTCATCATCATCATCAGTGTGTTTTGCAGTGTACACAGTGTCATCTCCAACCACAACATCTACTCCTTCATCTACCTCCTGTGGTAGCATGGCGACCTCCACTTCTTCAGCTGCTGCGTCAGGAAACCACTCCGTCATCTCTTCTGCGTCATCCTTTTCTTCTTCTATTGCCTCCTCTGCTGTCTTCTTCTCCTCCATCACATCCATCTCATCATCCTCTTCAGTTTTGTCCCGCCATCACATCCATCTCCTCATCATCCTCTTCAGTTTTGTCCCGCCCTTCCTCTTCCACCCCTGACTCCATCTCCAGCTCTATCACCTCCTCCTCTCGCTCACTTAGGTATTCTTCTTCTGCTTCTTCCTCTGTGTGGACATCAGCTTTTCTAGCAAAAAAATAATTTTCATCCTCCGGTTCGACTTTCTCTGCTTCCTCTTCTTGCTGTAGGACAAAGAAAGGAAAATAAGAAAAGCAGGAATTTAGAGTTTTTAACGGCATGGACATTGAGCCACACAGAAGAACCACACATGCAAACAGACTTGTTTTTCAGTGGTTTGAATGAATTCTCGTATTGACTAATGTTCTCTTAGGTACAAACAAGACCCAGACCCGTCATACAGTTTATCTATAGAGAATCTGACCTTCTCCACAGGAGGAAAAACAGCTATAATCAATAGTTTATAATAACAGTATGCAAGCCTGACTACTTGTATGGGAAAGGGGCTGCTTGTAGTGATGAATCCACTAAGAATTATCACCCACCTCTTCAGTTCCCTTCAGTTCTATGGAGCGTTTTACCTTCATTTTACTTCAGCGAGCCACAACTTTTTTTGTTGTTTTGGTTCACTCTCAATATTCACAGAGCGTTCAGACACAGTGTGCTGTTGTTTGTGAAACACTCTAAAGCCACATTGTACACTACATTAAAGTGTGGACAGAAGTTAGCAGTTAGCTGGTGATCCCAGTGGAGCATATAGCAGCTAATGATTCAGGATCAGTAGGTGAAACCAAGCTAAAGGGAGAATGAATAATGGACCTTTATTAATATTCTGTTCACCATATCAGTGTAATGTACATTATGGCTTTACTCCAGTATTTTTACAGTTCAGCAGTTTGTAGGACAATCCTCCAACAACTGCTTGAGGAGCTTGATGCATGTTGTTGTCCAGGAGAACATCCTCCAGTACAGTCTGACATCTGTAACGAGATCTCCCATTCATCTCCCTAACTCACATCCCCCTGACTCGCTCCCATTTTAGGCAGAGACCACTTTGCTCATTTTTGGCACCAACCTTTATCACCAACCATTTTCTTTGCCTGTCACTGTGCTGCTCTGTGAGGACATTAGTAGCAATATTTTTTATTTTTCAGGTCCACTAATTGAAAGTCACTTTCGGCTTTTCCCGTTTAGGGGTCGCCACAGCGAATCGTCACACTGATGACTCGCATGTTGACATTTGACCCGTGTTTTACGCACGATGCCCTTCCTGACGCAACCCTGATTTGAACCCGCTGCGCCTTAACCACTAGCCTACCAGGGACGGCTTCAGGTCCACTAATTGATACTGCTAAATTTGTTTATTTTGCTGATTTCCAAAAGGAAGACTTGAGGCTATGTGGTGTGAAAATCTTTTTCTTGAGGGAGTTTTATGTAAATGGAAATGGAGCAGAACGGGTAGCCTTTGGTGGCTCCCAAATGGAAGACTTGTACAAATCAGCTGCAAAATAAAAAAAAGTTGGTGATTTAGGATAAGTAAAGTTTCCTGCATAATGCCCATTGCTTTCTATACAAAATAAACGACAGACATTACAAATACAGATCCATGTTTTAAAGCTACTTAAATCAAGACTGTAAAACTTTATCAAAAATACATACACTATGATGACAAAATTGTTCCACAACTACTTCCTCATCCTCCTTTGCTGCTTCTTCACCAGGAACTACTACTTCTCCTTGACAGGAAAGAGCGGCAGCCTCCTCCTCTTCCACAGCGGTGCTACCCACCAACAGGGAGCCTGAGAGCGGAGCCTGAAACGTGACAGGCTCATCCACCTCCTCTTCCTTCATCTCTTCTCCTTCTTCTGTCTCATCCTCTTCTCTCTCCTGTTCCTTCGCCTCCTCCTCCATCTTTTGGATGATGCCCTCAGTCTCCATATCCAGTGAGCAAGTCAGAAGAGGAGTCTTCAAGGAGCTCAGCACCTCCTGTAAAAGTGAACACTCCTCCTCCCCATGTTCCTGGACTCTATCTCCTGTCAGTGCCAACTCCATTTCAACCCTGTCATCCTCAGCTCCGTAGGCAGTGTCTGGAGGGTCCAGCAAATACTCTCTCGCAGCAGCGGCGGGCTCCGGGCTAGCTCTAAAAGCAGATATTAAGAGGTCAGATGGACAGCTGAGGAAAATAAAAACAATTCAGAGTATGAGGAGGAGAAAACAAGGAGGAAATAATGTCTAATCACCTGGGACTGTCCAGAGAGGAAGCTCTGGAGCTGGGCTTAGAGGAGGGCAGGGGCTGGATGTCTGGGACTTCCTCCTCTGAGAGACTCTGCTCAGGAGGAGAAGATGTGTCTGGGTCGTGAAAAACATCCTGTTCTGCCTCGTCACTATTTATCAACAGGGATTGTCTGGAATGCTGTGGTTGCTCAATCTCCTCCTCCTCATCATCCTCTACTTCTTCTTCTTCTTCTTCTTCCTCCTTCTCCACTTTTGGTTTCCGCTCATCAAAACTTAAAGCTGGATTGCATACAGAAACAAAGGTCTCAGTGATCACCCTGATAGCATACAATGACAGCAAGTAATATGAAAGTTTGCAGTTGGCAATATAAAAATAAAATAATCTAATTAAATGTAAATGTCCGTCAATTTGTGTTTGCATGATGCATGACAGTCATTTTGAAAAATCATTTTCACATTTGAAATGCATACATTTTTCAAATGTTTTTAAAGCTTCTGAGTTGCAGTCTTAGGCATATTATAATGATAATTAAATTAAATATGATTTTTTATTTATTTCCAATTTGGTGGAAAACTTTGCATCAGATTTTTAATGTTTTCATTTTAGTTAATTTCTAATGAAACCATTTGTTCCATTTCCTTTTCATTATAAATGAGCTAAAATAATGAAATAGTTCGTTGGCACAATTAAATTTTCATGGTTAGGTATGCAAATTGTCTGCCAATATGAAAACAAAGAGTCTATTTAACATTAAATTTCATTGTCATTACAGCAGTGTTTGGCTCAGGAGTAAACTGTAGCTACATTATTTGACATTTGATCAGAAGTACAAAACCACCTGACCTTCTATTGTCTGTTGTTCTTGCTCGTCGTCCACAGCTTCGTTTACGGAGGTACTCAGCCGGTCGTCCACCAGGGAGTCTCCTTCTGCCTTCACCTCCAGTTTCTGTATGGACACAAGACATCAGCATCATCAGGACCAGTCAGATGGCCACGGTGATGTACTGCAGTGATCAAATTAAACATTCCTTTATCCCTTCACACTGAGTGGAAAAAATGTCATAGCTGCATTTATTTATAACTACAATCTTGAAATTGTTTCAAGTGGATATATTACTCTAAACACTGACCCCTGTTCTTCACATTTATAATTACACTGGATCAAAATGTTAGGGCTTTTGTGGGAAAACTGACCTGTTGCAACTTCAGATACCAACAGTATCTGTAGCAGCAACAGAGCAAAGTATGAAAAACAACATTTGTAGAAGATTAAAGAATAATTTCCTTTACACAACCTAGGTTTCACCTGTTTAGGTCTGGCCATCAGTTTTATTGGCAATAACTTTGTACTCACCAAGGAAACTGCTGGGAAATGGTAACATACCAATATTGTTAAAAAGCCTGAAGGGGCAAAAAAAACACGGTACTTACTGGGTACCAAGTATTAGTGAGCAAATACTATTGACATTTCAGGTTTGCTCACTTTCAGTTTCACATTCAAATAAAATGGCTGATCATTTGGGTAAACTGTCGTGCTTTGCTCAAACGATCATCTGATAGCTTGTGTTTCTTGTCCCTCTGGATGAGTTGCTCTGAGAATACCATGTTATCTTATTTCAGTAATTAAATACAAGTTTGTGATAATGATGGCCAAAGCTAAAACGAAACCCAAGTCCTAATAAAATGGACTGTATCCGTGCATATGCTTGTTTTAGTTGATTATGTCTGAGTGTCTTACGCTGGCAGGTTTCCTCTTATTGCAGGCTTTGTGTCTCAGGCCCAGCTTGTGTTTGGCTGCAGAGTTGTCCAAACAGCCGAAGGGACTGGCTGGTTGACTGAAGTCCCCTGGAACCACCAGGGGGCTCACTGCTCTACTGGAAACGGCACAGGACAGCTGAGAAAGAGAGACAAATGGAGACAGAAGGTTTCAGTAAAAAGGTTTCCCAAATAACTTGTTAACAGAGGAAATACTCTGTAGGTTTTTGTGAATGCAGGTAAATTAACTCCCTGTTATAATTGGACTCCAAACACCCAGCACTAAAGCATGTGTAATCTGGAGCTACCTCTGGAGGACAGTGACAAAAAACTGGGATTTGTCCATACATATGCTAGGGAAACTGCACTGGCAACACCATTAAACGCCCAAAGTCCCCTGCTCATTGTTTCCCAGTGGATCAGCTCCAGACAGAGCTAGTCACGTCGCAGATCTGAGTCATCGCCCGTCTTGTTCCCAGCTTTGAAGCACTAACCAGCCCAGCACTGAGGCTGGAAAGGAAAGAATGTGTTCATTATGATAAAAGGTGGATTTTTACTTAATCAATGAAGGCAGCAGATAAGAAAACTGAACAAGACCAGTGATAAGAGGGAGCAAAAGAAAGGGAGTCCAGCTGTATAAATATTAGCTTTCCTTATCTGCAGGACCAACACTTACACTGTCACCAGTGGAAAAGAATGCCTCTCTCATCTGACAAATTCAGTTTGACTTGGTGCAACCTCTTCTCACCTACAGTATTAATCCACCCATCAAACTAATAGTTATTTACAGTTTGACATTTCAACACACACTTTACTAAAGGAAATTTAAATTCTGTATTTGGGAACCATTTTTTGCCAAATAAATAAATAATAAAACTTAACTGACTCATAACTGAGCTGAAATTTCAGTAGAGAAATACCAACATGTCGTCTTCACTTGTTTATTTATGGAGGTCTCTTTGTGTGAGTCAGTGCCTGTGATTGAGAGGAAACCCGAGGCAGATTGCAAATGCTATAACTACAAGCAGACATGCTGACTGCCAGGGAAACCATTGGAATGCACTCTGGACAGACAGACAGACACACACACAGTGGGTCAGCATAATGACACATGCAGTGCTGTGACTAGAGAAAAAAGGTCACAAACACACAGACAAAAAAATGGGAGAAAGTGGCACATTAGAGGAAGAGGAGCAGCAGACTTTCATTTACACATGTAAAGTCCATGCTCAAGCATCACACACCAAGCACATAAGTTGTTTCCTGCGCTACAGTATTGTGAATGTGTGCAGTGAACTTATTGTATGAATCAATTTGTTAAATCCTTTGGGGAAGAAATGTAAAAAAACAAAAACAAAAAAACTAATGCTGTGGTTGAAGGACTGTGTCTTTCCAATACTTTATCTCCTAAATTAAAAGTTCTGTTTCCTTCTGTTGATTCCTTGGCCAGCTGGAGTCAGGAGTTAGTGAACTGTTGCTTAATGACATTTCCAACAAACATGTAGCAATATTGAAATTCATTTGGAGTTATGTTTGTGTCCACAAAACAAATGGATAGCAGCTAAATGCTATTAATGTAACCCTACACTAGCCTTTAGTGCTGGGCAGGTAGCGTACAGTGACTTTTTGCAAAGAGCTGCTGCTAGAAACGAAGGGAGCCATGACAGCCAACCAAAACCGAGACGCTGTGGGCAACAGCAGCCTTGATAATTCTCTGTGGGTGTGTTACTTCTCTATGAGTGACTGCTTTTGCATTCCAAGCAGTCATTTGATCCATTTTTTAATATAAAGATATCGATCAGTGCAGCTTTATCTTGATAAAAATATCCTTTAATCATGTATATTTAAATCTTTGAGCCACAAACTGATGTGCTGAGACCTATGATATACTACATCTCACAAAAGACAAATCTTGTACTCTATTTGCAGTAAATAGATTTATTTACAGTGAAATCTAAAAAAAAAAACAACAAAAAAAGCCCACTGTGTCTCCAAGAAGTCTGTTGTGAGTTCACAATGAATGAAAAAGCTCCAGAAAGTGCAGCTGTGACTTTATAAGTCACTGCAGTCCTCTTTGACCCCATTGCTGTGTGCAGTGTGTGGAATGCATTTAAAAAGGGACATTTTCAGGTTTTGGTGTGCATGTCTTTCTAGCTTGTCATTTGTGGGCCAATGACTGGCCAAAACCCTCCTGGCAGTGGTAAAACTGCTCATTAAATGCTCATTTGTTATACTTTGCTGACTGTGCTTTTAGCCCACATTAGAGCTGATGAGACTAAAAGGATAGCTTAAGTTTTTAGGACATCTGTCTTATGATCAATTGGCACTGCTTTGTCCATACAAAAGGAAACTTTTCATGGACTGTGTTGTTAGAGAGCATATGGTACATTTTAAGTCACATGGGCTGAACCACAAACACAGTGTAGGTCAGGAGACTGAGGATACAGGGATGGAGAAACAAAGTCGGATAAAGTTGAGGAAAGGGGACAAAATAGTAAAAGAGGTCAATTTGTGTGATGGGAACTTTCATTTAGAATCAAGAGTGGTGTTTCAATAATTACACTGGATCACAACGTGCTTTTACCATCGTAGGCATGTGAGGAGAAATGTCACAATCAAACAAAGCTCCACACTCATACAAGTTTCTCCTGGCCTTCATAAGTCACATTCTCCCCAGATTACATGAATGGCTGTTTGGTGCATCCACTAACAATGTTGATGCTATTCATTTTAGAAGTTCTAGGTTCAGTCTCTTTCCTGAGGAAACCTGATCAAATTTGGGTTGCAAACTCAAAACGTTAGATTGTCAGTAAATCTGTCAAGTGCAGTAAAAAATAAATCCATGCACATAATTACCGAATATAAAACTAGATTTCCTGTTGTGGGCTCTTTGTGTACCCCACTTCTTCCTGGATCTTTGGCAAACCATGTCAAAGTAGGATATATTTATGGAGGCAAAACTGGAAAATTGCTTAATTGGATCAAGCTGGTCTTCAATCCCAGTAAAAGGCTCAGACAGTCTATACCAGGGGTGTCCAAACATTTTGCAAAGTGGGCCAGATTTGGTGAGGTGAAAATGTATGGGGGCCGACCATTCAGCCTGACATTCTTTGAACCATTAACATTAAATGCAAATGAACTATTTTATGACATTTTTATTGCAAATGGCATACATTTCACTTCTTCACACAGAACACAAATAAATCTAAACAGGTTTTTACCAAAACCACTCTGCCTTTCATATTTGAAGACCACATAAAATGAAGAAAAAGACTGTCTGGAAAAAAAAATCTTTGGGGAAGATTAAACATATTGTAATACTCCCCGTTCCTACACAAGCAGCCAGACGTTCTTGTGGTATCAATGTCCTTTTATTTGTAATAACTTAACAGGCTTCCATGCTGTTGTTTCAGCCACAGCACACGCTAACGAGCTCTTTTGAAACTCCCAACATTCAACACTCCACAACAACACCACCAACAACTGCCTGCTCTTCCTCGCTCTCTCCTCCCACACACCTCACAGCGCCCCCCTCTCACATTCTTTCAGGCAATAACATGTAGAACCATATAACAGGATGCTAGACATCAGAACCATATAACTAGAGGCTAGACATCAGAACCATTACAATATATAAGTTCATTTGAACTTGATGAAAAATACGAAATGGAAAAATGGGCTGCCGAACCGAATTTAATTTGTCGGGTTTACGAAACCCAGTTTGATTGAAAAGACTCTGTGCATATTCAAAACTGCGGTTTTGATCATCACAAAAAAAAAAATCAATTCACTGAGATTTTAGAATTTATTCACCTCAGACTAAACAAATAACTTGCCTGCACTAATGTGAAGGGTGATACTGAGATCTCGACTGCAGTAAATAGGCCGGGTCTGGCTCAAAAACAGTGGTTTTGATGCGCAAGATGTCACGCAGGTGAGAGTCACTTAGTCTCGTTCTTACGCGGTTCTTGTTAATGTTCTTAACCAAGAATGTCGAGCCAAACAAGCTCAGCATTTTCTTAGCAAATGTTCGAATCTCTTGGAACCTGCCTTTATCCAGCTGGCGGTAAAAGTTGACAAGAGGGAGCTGTTGGGGTCGACTGTGACACTCGGCATCACGCTGCAGCTCAGCGAGCTCCAGCTGTATTTTAGAAATGGGCTGGGAAGGATCACAAGGGTCACGCGGCGAGAGTGGCCACAGGTTTACGGTCATCTTCTGGCAAAATATAAAATAGCTTTTTTGTACATGTGTATTTTATACTGTGGTCAACAGAGCTGGTGGGCCGCATATTATTGATTTTATGACAGAGGTTGTGGGCCAGTGGAAATTTGAACACGGGCCGCAATTGGCCCGTGGGCTGGACTTTGGACATGCCTGGTCTATACAGTCTGTAATGAAATTTCAAAGCTGCACTAATTTATTTTTTTTATAAACAGGTAATCAGTTCATAGTCATACTAGCTGATATATTGTAGCTTTATAGCATCTTTAAGCTAATTGTTTTGGTTTCATGGAAGGACAGACAAAGTTAGCAACTGTCTGGTGAAGAAAGTGGAATATATAACTGCTGAAGAGTCAGAAATTCTTCCCAGGAGTTTGTGGAGGCCAAATCTGATTTCCACTTCAAGTTTGTTTACAAGTTTTTAAAAGTGAAGCCTTTTGTGGCTTCAGATGGAACTGTGTGAAGTTTGAAAATTGCGCTCAAGTGATATCACTTGAATCAGGATGGGTTGGGTCTAAAGATTATAAGTTGCAGATGATGATGACATCTGTGGTTCGGCTACATTAGTTTCGATATTTCTTTTAAAAAATTGTCTGTTGTAACAACTTTATTGGTGGTAATGCTAAAGCAGTTGGGTACTCTTTAAAAAGTGCCTTTACCTGATCACCATCACTATCTATTCCCTCCAGACTGATGGAGCTGTTCCTCTGAGCCTGATTCTGAGAGATGGAAAGAGAGGAAGAAGTGTTAGCAGGGTCACCTGCAGCAAACAGCATTCAGGTGGATACAGAGCGGGACATCGTTCAGTAATGCATGTGCATTACCATGGCTGTGTGATGAGTGGTGTATTCAGGAGGACTACAGGGCAGACCATCGTCCTCAGACGTGGTTCCATCTTCTGTCCTCTTCACACACATCAGGGACGGAGGAGAGCCCAGTATAATGGCCTGCTTCAGCTGGAGCTGCAGGTAAAAGAACCCACACAATTAGGAAACAGCAAGAAAGCAAGCAATCTTTATTTGTATAGCACCTTTCTAAACACAAGTTACAAAGTACTGCACAGCCGATGGGAAAAAAATTAAACATGAAAATCACAATGTAAAAATACAAAGCAGAAGAAACAGAATGATGAAACCAGGAGACGACAGATAAAACCTCAGTCTAGACCAGTGTCGAATGCTTGAAAGATCAAGTGCGTCTTTGAAAGTGTACGAAACTTGTCCAAATCATGGGCAGTTCCAATATCAAATGGTAATTTTGTTTCAGGGCTTCCACTGAGAGGCTCTGTCATCCTAATATTTTAACCCCAGTCTAGGAACTCTAAGAGATTGTACAGTGATATGGGGATCGGATTGGGGAGTGGTGCCAGCCAGGTCAGGAAGAGCTTTAAAAACAAATGTCAATATTTTAAAAACAATCCTCTGTTTAAGAGGGAGCCAGTGAGTTGAAGCTAAGATTGGAGTTATATACTCCAGTTTATGAGCACCTGTCAAAAAGACAGGCAACGGCATTTTGTACTAACTGCAGCTTGGACAGTAGTACTGAAGGGATACCAGTAAACAGAGCATTACTGTACATTAATCAAGTCTAGAGCTAATGAAAGCATGGATGGCTTTTTCAAAATCATTAAAAGAAAGAAAGTAGTCACATAACTAGATTTTACAGTAGAGAGTGAAGGCATTTCCCAGGTTTTGTGTGTATATAGTTTGCTCTGTCTCTCTTCGTCAACTCTCTTGTTGATAAATACTGTTTATGACAGCTGAGGGCAGCAAGTGGGTCAAAGACACTCTCACCCCCAAACACAGTAAAAACTGTCAGATCAGGATTCATTATTTGCTTATTATTCCTCATTTACCCAGACACTCAAATCCTCTTTTCTCTGTCTTTTCTATCAGAAGTCAGGGTTGCTATGGCATCCAAGGCCTGAGAGTGATTCAGCATCTTTCACAAATACTTTACACAGGAGCTTAACTCGTCTGGTTTTTATGTTAAGTGTATCTGTGTATGCACCTGTAGTGATTTCACTTTCCCATGAATGCTGTCCTGAGATGCCCCCAGAGCCTCATTGGCCTCCGATGACTCCGAAACAAAGACAGAGTCATGTGACAAGGCCTTGCTGCCCAGGCTGATCTTTGACCTTTGGGAAACAGGAAGAGGAAGAAATAAACAAAGCAGAGAGTGATGTTTCACAGCTTCTTAAATAAAATAAACAAAATAAAGAGGGTCAGTGATTTAAAATAAATACCATGAACTAACAATGTGGGTTTGACATTTGTGGCGTTTCTCTTCTTTAGTCCAAGAAAGTCATTTCCTGAAAATGATTGTCCTTTCTATTGTGGTTTGTTGTCCACTAATGATCAGAAGGAGCAAGGCAGAATGCCATCCATCCATCCATTTTCCTCCGCTTATCCGGGACTGGGTCACGGACCCGGTCCCAAGACAGAATGGCTTCAACAAAATTGGAACAGATATATCCTCTAGTACTGAGGAAAGGTCAAAAGCCAACAAGGCAGGAAATGGCACAACATAGCAAAACCAAGGAAGTCGGGACTGTCCTACAAGCAGAAACATTCCACTACTTGTTATGTAAACAGGAAGCCATGAGTCTCTGCGGAGCTGATTTTGGCAGAGCAGGAGATGGATGTCAAAACATCATCTTCCTTTTCTTAAATTATCTGTTCTTTTCACATGACAAGAAATTTACCTAAAAGGAGAGAGGAACTTCAACACACTGTGCAGAGACTGCAAACTGGGCTGCAGAAAAAAAATAAAGACGAACAAAATCCAAAACTGACTTTTTGAAATTGGTATCTACCATTAATGGCCCATCTTGACAAATATAATAAATTCTGCCAATAGAAACAAGTGGATATTGTAAATACATTACTTATACCAGTTTTGCTGGGGGGGGGGGGGTCATATTTTCACTAAGAAGCAGTAACAGCACAAAGTGACAATTTCTTGCAATTTCAATGCAAATAGGTGGGGCAGAAAGCTTGGTGACAACTCGCAGGGCTAGCTTAGCTCAGGTGCTAACAGAACAACACATCTACACAATTTTTTCAAAAGATGTATTTGTACTGTCTGCAAAATACTATGCTTTGTGAAGTCGTTTTCACTCTGACAGGGGTTGAATAAAAGTCAGTGGTGTAACACAGCTAAGAAGTACAGATAGTTTTTTCTATTTTAGACTCTGTTCTCCACCTCCACAAAAGGAGAGCACTGCCAAAATGGTTTACACTTGGACAGTGGTGCAAGTGCCAAAGTTTCAAAAAGTTAAACATTTGTGCAGATTAACTTTGCCCCCTCTGATCGTGATGATTTTATTTGAGTGACTGGGTTTCAGTTTTAGTGTCCCATGACCGATATATTTCACTAACTGGACTAACTGGGATCATTTTAAAAATTCAAACTGAACCAGTCATGAATGATTTGGTGCTTTCATTTTAAATTACTTTTATTGCATCGTTGTTTGTGCAGTCACAGTTTACCCGTGGGTATTTGTATACTGTATGTAGTGTATGTGTGTGGGCCTGATCTTACCCAGAGCCCTTATCCTTCTCCGATCGAGTGAGCGTGTTATTCTCTGATGTTTTGCTAACATTGTCGGTTGACTGGCTGGCTGTGAGCCCAGCTTCTGCTCCAGTGGCTGACGGCTCCTTTCTCTTCTTCTTGGCAAAGAAATTTTTAAACGTCTGAAACTTGGATTTCTTCTTTCCTGGTGACAAAAGACAGATGAGAAAAGAGGATAAAATGAAAGAAAGCTATCACTTAACCCTCTTTACAGTGTTTTCATGACAACATTGAATCATTATAACCAACTACACAGTGATGTGTTAATGAGAAAATTACACACTGCCCTCAGTTTGAGCAATTAGCCCCGTTTTGGTTGTAAATGTGCAGACAGATGCCCACAAATACACACACAGACTGGTGCCTGTAAACCCACCCCCTAGTGAGTTCATGTCCATTAGCACCATTAGCTACAAACTGCTTTCAGTCTGCAAGGCACTTATTCAGGGCTTAAAACGCCCGCTGGTCATCCCTCTGCAACGCATTCAACAGGGCTGTGGGCCACCTCAACATTTAATTTTCTCTTCAAATCAAACTGCCAATATAAAGAAAGAGGCATACCCCTTTGTTGTATTTTAAGAATCTACAGCCACACTTGCAGTTCTCTGAGGCTGTAAACACAACCATGCTTTGAGCTAAATGCTAACATCAGCATGCTAACATGTACACAGTGACAATGCAGGTTTAATGCCCACTGTGTTGAACATATAAAATTATATTGTATTATCTTCATAAATGGTGAACCAACAGTGTCATCTCTAAAGCAACACCAGCAACATGGCTACACACATTTGACATCTGGTTTTTGGTCTTAAAGGTTAAGTTTGCAGATTTTCCACTGCGACATCTGTTTTCTGGTTGTGGAGAGTATTACTATATATACACACCTGTATGAAAAAAGTTAAAGAATTTATTGTCTCTCAGGGTAGCTGTGAAAACTGAACTGAAAAAATGTCCGTTGGATCTGAAGACTAAAAGTTTGAAAATGAAAAAATATGGTTGAGGCTACATTAGCCACTACTAGCATAGCATATTTGAAAAAACATCTTTGACTGAACTGGGGTCAAGTTGCATTGTTGGTAATGTAGGCACCGGGTTTTGACAAGTACAGTATGTCGACTAAGAAAGAGGATATCTCTGGCTATGCTGCACTGATTTTGCAACTTTTTGCCCCCATTGTGATTCTGACAATGTTATAGTAGTATAATGCTAAATTGTACACATAGCCTCCATCAGTATTACAACAGTTTCACTGCATAATGTTGGACTGTAAGGATTGTATATATGCATTGTTACTAAAACAACTTTGGAGCATAACCAGAAATGACCAGATAGGCTATATTATGATACATTAACCACCAGAGACTGGACAATGTTGAAATGCAAAACTAAGGGAAACCTGGGAAAAAGGAGTGATGAACAAAGTTGAAGCTGAGGGAATAACAACTGTGATCTAATTATGCTGAGAATTCACATACCCGGGCCATAAAATGCTTCAGGAGACTTAAAAATAAAGAAATAAACAAACACACAAGCAAACAGGCACTCTTCATACTAGCTGTGTAACTTTTGTCCTCCTTCAACACTTTCTGGTTGGAACTAAATCACAGCAGAAAAAATGTCTGGAATCTAAACCTGGAACTGGGGTCAAGATGCTTAAAATCTCTAGGTCATTTGCTTGGGGAAACACATCAGAAAATAACTGGGCTGTTCTATTTCTATGTGAAACAGTCATCCATTATCTATACTGCTTATCCTGAAGAGGGTCATGGGGAGCTGGAGCCAATCCCAGCTGACACTGGGTGGGGTACACCCTGGATAGGTCACCAGTCTATCACAGGGCTGACACATAAGAGACAGACTACCACACACACAGGCAATTTAGAGGTGCCAATCAACCTAAACTCCATGTATTTGGACTGCGGGAGGAAGCAGAGTACCCGGAGAGAACCCACGCAGGCACAGGGAGAGCATGCAAATACTGCACAGAATGGCCCTGGGTAAGTCGGGGATAGAACCCAGACCTCCTTTGCTGGGAAGCAACAGCGTTTTGCCGACCTCTACGTAAAACTTTTTTAAAATCATACATACACATAAGCAGTTTTCTTTCTCCCCCTTTGAAAGCTTGTATATATTTTTTTATTTTGTAAATAATATGCAAACTATCAGAAAACATCACAAAGATGAATTAAACGTTAACAAGCTGTCTTGTCTGGTATGTTGTAGCAAACATGGCACCAGCCACACTGCTCTGATGAGTTGCCATGAAACCACACACAGAAGAGAACATCATTTCTCATCCAATTTTTGTGATGGCAGTGTTGGCTGCAAATTCTTCTCTCTTTTATCTAGACCTTAAAGTGAATTGTTCTATTTACTGGGGATCTTCCAGCATGCTTTTTGATGACACTTCAGAGGCCCTTCTTAGCCGCCCAAATGAAAAATCAGGGGAAACACCAGTCGATGGTGCCATTTATTCTGCTATTTTGGAAACAATGCACTATTAAGCTAAAGGTCTGCACTCTCTGTGTTGAAAAAGGTCGCTGCTTCAATGGAAGGTCAGTGTAGATCTGTGGTGATTGTAGGGCTAAGATACTGTAAATTCCCAATATACATTCTTTCCATTACCAGCATGACTACACACCTACTCAGCATCATTGGAATTTGAAGCCAATTAAAGATCAACATTAGCTTACACAAAGAGAAGATGATGGAGTCAAACTTAATTTGATAGCTTTGTGTTTGCAAGCTTCTTGCATTTTGCATTTTGTCCCTGAAAGTGGTGCTTTTTGTTTTCTATACAGTGTGAAGAGAGAAGGATCAAGAAGGAGAAGAATAGGAAGATGTGGAGGTGAGGAGAGGATGGGGGGTCTGCACTACTGTATATATATTCTGGATAAATAAAAAAAAGAGTAATATTAGCTCTGACTTGTCTGTGTTTGTAAGTATAAGCCCCTTTCAGAAATACTCTCTCTTCCATTTATCAGACTAAATGCTTCGGCTTCATGTCTGAATGAGCAGTCCCGTCACTTTTCCATAATAGTCACGACAACAATCTTACTTGGTCAGACCTAGTAACATTTACGTATCACCTTCAACATGGCACAGGTCTGACCTGCAGCAGCCTCATTAATCAGATTACGACATACTGATGTAGGGCAATGTCACATATAGTGGGTTTAACCAATCACAACAGTCTAGGTGTCTGTGTACGTCTCTCGTGCATCTTTGTGATTTACTCAGATCACAACAAAATGACTGTTTTAGAGAATGGCCTGCACAGCAATAATGTGGGAAAAAAATTCTCCTGAAACACACTGACATTTGTCCGCCATGTTGTAGTAAGCAAACTGGCACATATACCATTTATACAGTGACTCTCTCTGTCACAATCGTGGGTATGTCTGAATGGAGCCGTGAACATCAACATACTGCAAGTAACATACAGTATGTCTGAATGACAGAAAGCTGTCGTTTCAACAGATCAGTGAAGCCAGCAAACACTACAACCAGAAAACCAGCTGTTTCTCCTCCCCAAAAATGAACAATATACAAACCTTGCAATCATAGCCGTGATCGCATTTGTCTTACAGTCTCAGTGAATATATGGACAAACATCTGGACAGTATAAATGGAATCTATATCTTAAAGATAACAGTGGAGAATGAGATAAACAGATGAGCATCCAGGCAAAAAGGAAAAACAATGTAAATTGGTGACAAAATGTTTTCATGTCATTTTAGTTAAGAAAAACACAGATAATGTGATAATTAATAAAATTATCCATCCAATGAAACATTAACTAAAGCATCAGCTGTTACCTGAGCTCTCCTCCTGGACCTCAGGCTCCTGACTGACCATCACATCTGGAGGTCCTGATGCCATGGCAGCACCGTCACTGCTGACGGAGACAGAGAGAGACCAATGATGAGCCCTAGGGCATTTTTGCGTAATAATAATAATAATAATAATAATAGTTAATAGTTGACACAGGATTGACTGTATTGATGTATAGATGGATACATCTCCAAGAAAAGTGAAGGTGAGGCAGGAGGTTTATACTTTTGGCACTGATCACTTATTAAGAAATAAAATTATGATTTTGACAGTTTGAGATAATTTAATAAACTTTAAATTCCCAATGTTAGGGTTTCCTTGCAGTCATTATTTGGACAACAGAATGTGACAAATGATAATACTGGTGCGGCATCTGGTGCCATTCGGTGCACATGGCCTTAGTGGACCTAGGGTTCACCATATCCCTGGTGCGCCCGGGGACACTGCAGTGCTTGCATGCTCCCCTGCAGCAGGATCAGGTGGGGGAACCTCCTGGCATGCTGGTGTGGGTGTACAGCCCTGAGCAGAAGAAGGGCTTATCCCCACAGTCAGCAAACAAGTGGGGCGGACCCTCTACTGTACTGAAAAGAGTGTCGGCTGTGGTGTACAGGGTGAGAATGAGTAAGTGGAAACGGTTGGTGCTTCACAGGGACACACTCGCACCATACTGGCCCTTGACTTCACCTCAGGGGGAGAGTCAGAGAACGAGAGCCAGACATGGGCCCAGACCCCTCTCCAGCCAGGAGTCACTGGAGCAGTCCAGCACTGATGCAGGCTCTCCCAGCATGCTGAAGGACTTTGGGGTGACTGTGGTTATGGAGGACAGTTAACTAGCCAGGTGGGAGCTATGCCGTGTGCTCGGGGCTAGTGGGGCACCAGTGGCACTCCAGTCAGCCCCTATGGACAGAGACTATGAGTTCCTGAGTTACTGTTGTGTTCATGTTCTATTATGGGGGCGGGACCTGCCCGGCTGTGTATTTTGTGCCTCCTGTGGCTGATTTTATCTTTATCTGTTTCTGTCACCTTATATCACTCTTATGCCAGCCTGACTACTCACAATGTGATCAGGCTCATTGGATTACAGAGTCCAATTTGGGAGTGCTGTGACAGCTAGTAAAGGTGGTTTGCAAACAAAGTTCATTTGGCCACCTGTAACAAGTCCCAACCTTATAAAATTATTTCACAACCTGCTGGATAAACTCCTAAATCAATCTATTTTTCATCCCCTCACAGCTGAGTATGTGTAGATTGTTGAGGTGAACTTCCGTTATGTTCAGTCTGATGCAAATCCAGTCTCCAGTCCAATCCTTCTCTGCAATCCAAACAAACTCAGTGGAGGTAGCTCAGCTCCGTTTCTAGTGCTCCACCCTACCTTGCTATCCACTTCTGTCAGGTTCATGTCCTAGCATCTGCAGATTGCCCAGCAACTTCTAATACAAAACCAAACAGACAAGGAAAAAAAACAAAACATACAAACTAGTTTCTCACTTTGCAACAACAGCAAGGAGTGCATTGACTGCATAGTGAACTTGTACTGTATGAGACAAAAGTGTCATATCTTAGTATAAGATACTTTTCAAAATGTGGGAAATGTATAAGGCAAACTCAGTTTCCTTTTGAAAATTTTAATCACTATGTTGAGGATTATTATTGAACGTTCTCCAGCAGACAGGAAATCTGAGGTCGTGTGAGAGTTCAGCCCCAGCATGCTGAACCATAATTCTCTCATAGAGAGGGACCATTAGTTCACCAGGTTTTACACAACTCCTTGTTCTAGTCCCAAATCTAATAACGCGCCGTATGCACAACATTTCCTGTGCAGTTTGGCAGGAAGCAGAGTCATTACTGACATGGTTTTCAGTAAACTCATGTCTCAGAATAATGTGACCATGTCACCAATACTTTAGCACAAAAATTTTCCCAGAATCTGTTCAGGTCATGATAATATGACTGGGGAAGTGGTGAGATTGGAATGTTTTCTCAGGCCAAACTTCAAAAACTACAAACTTCATATTTAATACTACACTGTCCATTAATGCCACCCACCACCTTTCCTTTATGTTCAGAATGGTGGAACTAGCACAGAAAATAAAAAAACTCATTTTTAACAGCAAGACAGACTGACCCCGCAGAAAGATAAAGGTTTAAAAAAATGCCATAGAAAATTTATAGGGCACTGTAAAACACTATGGCTGACAATGGTAATACCTTTTGGGAACTAAAGTTTTACCTGGTGTTTTACTTTTGATTTTGCACTGTATGCTTTTTAAAGGATAATATTCCGTTATACTGCTGATGCTTGACCTATACTGTAGTGACATCTTGTTTAGCAGGCAAATTAAAAAGGTAACAGTGCATCTAAAATGTTGTGAATCAGTTATTTCAGTAAAAGCTCAGATTACTTAAAAGAAAATGTAACATAATCCAAATATTTTAATAAAAATAAACAGAATAGATAGGCCATCAGTGTTACTAAAGTGTTATAAAATGTTTCTTAAAATTGATAAAAGTAACTGTTAATAATCTATTGATCATTAGCTATTTGTTAGCAACTTACACTGAATTAAAAACGGGATCACAATATTCCACTACTTTGTCTGTAAAATTGTCCATAACCCATCTAAAAGTATCCTGGCTACACAAATTAGTTGGACATTTTGGCAAACACATTTATTCACCTCTTGCTGAGTTAAATGTGGAAATTAATCTGTAAAAAAACAAGTTTAGGAGACTTTAGCTTAGCACTGGAAGCAGAGGGAAACTAATGCAGTTAATATAGGCCCGACAGGTTACATTACATGGGTCAAGTCAAAACACTAATGCAGTTTGCTTAACTGCAAGCCAACGGAGATGAAGAGCCCTTAAAGTGCTATCAACAAACTCACAACAGCCCCTGAGCTTGTATATCAACATCTCTATGACAACTGAGCAAACTCCATTTGCTTATAAAGACCTTGTGATATGGCTGATAGCTCCGGGAAAGGCTAGTAAGTCAACCTTGAGCCGAGATTGTTTTGGCAAAATACTACAATATAAAATGCTTTAATATTGGGGGGTGAAATAATTCTCATTTCTTCAATTCCTTTTTGGAAAGTTTACAGGACATCCATTTTTTCTAATAGCGTGACCAGACTCTTCTCTCCATTAAGGAAGCAGCTGGAGAATTTCTTGTCAAGTGTGTGTACAGTGGGTTTGTATTACACAAACAGATGGAGCATTCCAGAGAGTTTGTTGACATACCGAAAGCCTTTCATCAGTGTTACCGTTACATAAACCTCAGCTACATATCACCATAACCACAGCCTGTCATATCACCTCTTTAATAAGCCATGGTTTTTACACTATGTCTGCATTGTTGCAGCACATGGCCATAAAGATACACATGCTAATGTTGCTGATTGTTGCTATTAGCTGATAGAGCTGGACTGATGCATTTCTTGTCTGATGTCACAAGAAGACACTACAGCCAAGAGTTTAACACACACACACACACACACACACACACACACACACACACACTGGAATCTCTAGGAAACATACAGAAACAAACATTATGTTGTCTATGATACAAACTAAGGAAATGATAAAGTGCCAGGGAAAGGAGGGAAACCAATATAAACACCCACAGGGCTACTTGTTCTATCAGTGGGTGGGAAAATGGAAAATACCATAATATCTAGATGGAAAAAAAAAGTATTAACATTTTAAACCATTGACTCTTGTATCTGGGAACTAAAGAATTCAACCTGAACACAGACTTGTCAGTGACACTACTTGAAATGTTGCATGGTTATGTGCTGTAAGTGCTAAATATCACAAATATTACAACTAACTGCTTCAAAGACACAGTTCACCATTTGGGAACTATTTTACTGTCTTAGATAAAAAGATACTGTGCTCATGTCTGTGCATTAAGACAGAGATGAAACCAGGATAATGTTAGCTAGCTAGCCTGGCTCTCTCCAAAGTTCAAATACACAGTATATCTACTTACAACTACACATGGTATCCCTTTTATTTTATACATTTACAAGAATGGAAAAACAACAAGTTCTTGTATGAGCAGTTTTGTACTAAAAGCCAATAGGGCTGCCCCTTAATAGTCAAGTCAGTCAAGAAGCCTGTCAGTCAACTGAGATGTTTTTTTTGTTTTGTTTAAATACGTAGATGAGTGTCAGGTCAGTGTGTTAGGTTTTAAAATTACTTGACTTGCACCTACTTCCAAAACCAGCTCCCCATGGTATCATCCCCCAACTTCATCTAAGAAGTGGGGGATGATAGAGAAGGATGGCAGGAAATGTAGAGTAATGGAAACACAAGGACAGGTATAAAGATGAATTTAAGAGACAGAAGAAGTGAATTATAAATAATAGGATGAAAAAAGGGAAATAAGGAGCAAGTGGGAATGAGAGAAAACATGAGAGAGGGACCAGCACATGGAGGGGGTGTGGGGTCAGGGAAGGGCGGTTGTGGGAAAGAAGAGTCCATTAGATAAACAGATGAATGTTAGAAAGAGGAGAGAGACTTACAGTAAACACAGTGGCCTTCCAGTGTAGAACAGTTTGGAGGGTTTCAACCAAAGATGGTAAAATACTCTTAGTAAAATTATTTTCTCATTCACACAGATTACTGCAAATAAATGACCTGAAAATGCTGATCACAAATGTCCTCTGGCCGAGAAGAGAAAATAAACCTAATATGGCTTGATTATGATGCTATGGCCTTCAGACGTCCCAACCACAGTCAACATAAATGGTCATTTCTTCTACATGTACATGCTGAGAGCGGTAAGTTAAAAAAAAAAAAAAAAACATAACTGCAGGGTTATTTACTCATTTGCCATTTCATCAGTTCAATTATTTAATCATCAAAAAAGCCCTTATTTGCAATATAATGTTCCTCTATTTTTGGTCACTGAAGCAAAATGACAACTACAAGCTAATTTATATTGATCAAATTGTTATTCTGAGATTAAACTGTTTTACAAAAAGGTGGTTAAAAGACAGATGAGTTACCAGTCAGGTGCACCTGTACAGTCTATCTACAGTACCTCAGCATACTGGA